GTTATGTTATGTTATATACCTAGGTACATAACTAAGTATCTACACGTATACTAACTAAAACTTTGATTTTTTCAACATTGGCAATTACTTAATTATCTAATCACCACTAGCGATATTGTAGGTAGGTAGTAGATACCTAACGTTCGCTACTCAAAGATCAAAATTAATTATAGCCAACTAATAATAAATAACACTTGATAAATAAAGAAACAAAACATTTTGAAATCAATTCGCCGGCCAAGCGTGGCATTTCAGTGTGTGCCAACCAGTGTCAATGAACGTAGCAGTCTCAGGGTGAAACTACGATGTATAGATGTCACTACCTACGATGACACTGTAAAACGTGTTAGGTTAGGTCTTAGACACGCTGCCAAAGAGTCCGGATAACCGCCCATAGACAAATTCGCACGACAAGTGAGATGGCAACATTTTGACCAGCAATATAAGTTTTTTTACCAACAGTTCACAGACAAACTAGTATTATTCTGTGTGATCATCGAGCCTGTGACTTCCTAGTTGGTAATTAGGTATTGTAGGTACTAAATGACAAGTTGAAAGAAACTTTCAACATTCATCCACTCACCAGTAATGTAGGTTAAAAGTGCAAGCATACAGACCGTGACTGATAACCACCAATTGCACTTCTGTCAACTATGACGAAGAATCAACACGCCCACTTGCGTTGTGTTTCACTGTGCGTATGCATGGTTCGTCATATCCACCATATCTCTTACAGCCTTCTCCGCGTATGAGATTTCCGGACTGCCACGCCTCATCTCCAAAGACTGGCAACACACACTCTTTAAAACCTCTAGTACTGTGGTATTGTTGGTATCCATGCGTGGCCCAGCACGCCGATTGCTTACCATCAGGTGACCCGTCCGTACGTCTGAGGACCTCTCCAAAATTGACGTCCCCACATACGCTTACCTATAACTTTACTTTCTCTACTCTTTAATAAAATGCGTTAATCTTCACCTTTGACTAACTTTGAAATCCATACACAGTCCCATCAACTAGATACAGTCTATGGAGAGTAAGTAGTGGTATGCCCAGCTGAACATAAAATTCTAAAGTCGATTGCCAGGTCGGACCGAAATGTTATTGAATTTTTCTTTTCTCAAACTTACAATTGAAAAGTAGTAGCCAAGTTTGGAATTGTGCCAATAACCGGCTTGTTCCAATTACATAGGCCACTACTATGACAAAGAATAATAAAATACTTATTTGGTGTCGTAAGTGTGATTACCTTACAAACAGACAAATTTACTTATGAATTATCACACCCATTAGCAAAATAAAATATTTGAAAATGTTCCGTCCGTCCAGAATCGAACCCGCTTCGCGAACCGTCACGTAGCAGCCGGTTGCCGAGCGACTATGGGTGCGCCAATCGTCTTTTAATTAATTTTTTGCAAGTAAACTTTTAGATTCAAGATAAACTAGTTATTATGTTATAATTAATTGAGTTATATAAAGGTAATTTTCATAAATGCAAACTATGACGATAGCTAATAGAAGTTTATTTACAAACATCAACAAACTTTTATCGAAACGAAACGTGCGAAGAGACCCTGTTTTACCGACAAAAACGTCAGCTGTCAAAATTGGTTCCCCACCGCCACTAGAGGCGCTGTAGTCAGCTTTTCCCTCTCCTCTATTGTTTATGACAATTACAAGCTTCACACCGACGCGTCACCGTCGGGTTTTATTTTAATTTTATAATTATAAGTGACAAAGAAAATTGTGATAAGTGTGATTTTTATACACATCTTGGTGATAATATTAGTGTTAAGATTTGTTAAGTTATTGTTGCAACGTGGAAAACAAACGAGGTAAGAAAGTTGTGGAAACTCAAGTGTCGGGGAATTGTTTGGGATTACTGGGATCGATAACCTGGTCGGCTAGCCATGAGGCGCGACGCTGAGGTTATGTCGCGAGCCGCGAACAGGTATCGGAGTTCAAGTAACGGTCCCTCCGTCCGGAGCGGGCCGCCTCGCGTTACAGCCGCAGAATCCGGTCGGACCTAAGACCAGTTAGTTCATAATAGCGTCTAGATCCTCATTTGCCGTCCTCATTCCGTTACGCTTGCCATCGACTGTCACTGTAAATAAATATTCGGTAATCGGCTTCGCTTCTAAAAATCGCCGAGTGCCCATACACCCTAAACCTTTAGTTCGCTCGAGACCTATGGACGTTCCTTTTGAGATGTGCGCCTGTTTTCCAGCTTACCCTGCCTGCAGTGCGTGCCACGAGCCCCAGAGTCCCAGCCATTAGATTGAGTGGAGTGTCCCCTGTGCCCACACGTAGCCCTGTACGCAGCCAAAATTCCGCGAGACACTTCGGACACCTGCTCCAGCATGGAACTGGAGAAAGCCCCTACTCTCCACGAGGAAGACTCCAAAGTTACCCTCACTATCAGACTGATTATGCAGGGGAAGGTAAGAGAATGAACACTTGATTATTTAACAAAATTGGCACTCTTTTATTAAAAATAATATTTTGAATTATTTTAAAATTGTGAAAGTGTACACTTTACCTTCTTCTAAATTCCACTTTAAGTAGTTAAAAACTTTGTAATAGTAGTGTAACTAATTTAGTTATTAGTTAATGTTTCCTAATTATCTGGAAATACATAGAGGTAATTTTGTGGTAGATTTAAATTCATTTTTACATTCTTTAACAGTAACTTTAACCAAGCAAGTTTACATGTGGTATTTTTATGCAATGTTTACGCTGCTTATGCTTTTTAATGCTTTCCTAATTAACATACTTCTCACATGAATCATTGTTTCAACTTCAATGTCACAGATACAATAAACCTTTTCAAACTGGCTCGGGTCAAAAGCTTTGGACACATTATTATTTATACTGTATGTTTTCACACAACTTGCATTGTTGTATAAACAAATATTAGATGTATGGCAGTCAATGATAAAATTAACATATGAACAATAATTTAAAATGAACATTGATAATTATGTTACCAAAATAAACATATAGCTATACCTACTTACCGGTAAAGAATATGAAAACATAATTAGTGGTAATTAAAAAGAAATTATTGAATTTTATAATGGAATATTAATTTCTTACAAACCTAAAAGGAACATATAATTTCATGCCTTTTTAATAGTTTATACTTGTAAAATGTAAAAATTTTTTTATTGTCTTACAAAGTTAAAGAAACTCATTCTCTTGGTCTCTTATTGTATGCCTACTTTCTTGTTCGGAATGATTGAATTGAATTCTTGTTGATGTAAAAACTATTTATTCTATTCTATTGCTCAGAAAAATTATGAAGGTTGACCATTTCAAATTGATTTTAATCATTTCTTTCATGGAACAATTTTATGAAAATAATAATCTTTACTGTTATACCTAGTTAGGTAAAACAAGATTTACTGTGAAAGTTTGATAAGAGAAATGCATTAAAATTATTTGGAGTACAGTTTTTTGTACTTAGTTATTACCTAGTCCATATTTATGTATATTGATAGTAATATTATAGTAAATAGACTGCCTCGTTGGCCGAGTGGCCGCAAGTGCGACTGCCGGGCAAGGGGTTTCGGGTTCGATTCTCGGGTCAAGCAAAGTATTACTGGGTTTTTAAAAAATTCTCAGTAGTAGCACGGAGTTTGGAATCGTGCCCGGTATATGGCAATAGGCTCACGCCCTGTTAAATGGGACTCATAACATAAATATGTAGTGAAAAGTGTGTGTTACATTGCACAGTGGCATAAAGTGGACCTCTGCCTACCCCTTCGGGGATAGAAGGCGTGATGTTATGTTATGTGTTATTATAGTAAATATAAAGGTTTTTGTAGGTGGCCAATGTATGCATATTATGTTTTATAAAATATGCTTATGCTTAAATAAATACCCGAGTTAAGTGAAAGAGTTGTACATATTTGTTTGAACATATATGGTAATCTAATATGACTTTGGTATTTCAATCTTGTTAGGGTACACACACTTGTAGGGCTGCTCAACGCAATATCCTGTTTAACCATGTAGGCTTGCTTAACAACTAGGCTTTCATTTTATTATTTCTAACAACCCCTTATTACTGCATCAGGTCAAATGAACTCTTCATAAGTCATAAATAAGGATCAAAGTTGCATGTGTTTGACATAACACTTAGTTTATTAGCACGATATAATTCACATCACAGCGTAACTGTTTTATTTAAGCTCTCATTACTCAACCGCTCCACTAATTTAGCACACCTAGATGTCGCTAGATTGCACTGACATGTTAGATGTATTGATGTTAACTTCTACCTATACTCACTTTTACATGTAGGTACTTTTAATTGGCTGTAATCCAATACAAAGTACATTTGGCAGCAGGCCAGCTATTGGCACTCGCCCTGTTCATCAAACTTCGATTTGTACCTTTTTCTAATTGGAGTAATGTGTGATATTTAATGTCGTCATTGTGTTTGTCTCTGCCCACTTCCTTAATCGCAGTCTGAGATCGATGTATTTCTGTTCCACTCACTAGCTGACTAGCACCCGTATTTTCTTTACTAATTATTAGTTTTTATGTAAACATTCCAATGATTGACTTTAATTTATGATTTGTGTTTCACAATACTTTTTTCGGTGTTCAAAAAAGTTGTAAAGATGTTCACCAATCAATATTCACGCAAGAGTGAACTACCCACTTCTGTTTTCACCTGCTCTCTTTATCACGCTACAGTTCGTCTAAAAACAGAAAGTGAAACCAAATTCTTAATGTACAATCAATTATTTACGACAAGCTTAGTAAATAATTCATAGATAAATCTGCAGTGAAATTGGTCAGTGTCAATCGTCGCGAGAGATGTTCGAGCCGTCGGGTTTGTTTGATATTGTTTGCTATTTGTGTCGTGTAAGCGGCGGCGTTGAGCAATAGCATTGTTCACATACTGTAGAAGTCATGCTGCTCACTTGCCAGCACCGATCTGATACCGCAGGCCTCTAAAACCGTCTCATCGCAACCCCGATGCGTCTGCCTGCTGTAAAGAATCTCTATGCAGTGACTATTATTGGATACCAGACAGGAAATCTTTTGTACTATAAATCTCAGCGCGACTACATTAATTACATGTGCGTGCGCCCGTTGCACAATACTTGCCAATGTACCAGTCCCTTTGGTTATTTTTGATGACAATTTTAATTAAATCTCATATAACACTTGTTCTAAGTTTAATACGGTTTATATTTGTTTGCAGGAAGTTGGCAGTATTATTGGCAAAAAAGGAGAGATTGTTAAAAGGTTCAGAGAAGAGGTGAGTTTCACAAGTTTCATTTGAGACAGCCTAAAATTACATTTAAGTAAAGTTTTAGTAACAGTACAGAGAAAGTACATGAAGTTGTAATCTTGAATAAATTCTTTGTACTTACACCTATCTTAATTTGCTCAGAACATGTTCAATACTACACCGCTTATCAGTGTTTCGCATTGGTCTACTAACTTTAATAATTTATTATTGTTTTCAGTCTGGAGCAAAAATCAACATATCCGATGGATCATGCCCAGAACGGATTGTCACTGTTACTGGCAACACAAGCGCTATATTCAAAGCGTTCACACTCATATGCAAAAAATTCGAAGAGGTTTGTACTTACCTATATTTTTTCTAAGAGGTCATCGACCTCCTTTGGCACATTTGATCCGTCTGCCGTTTTCGAAACTTGGTTTGGCTGCCAGTGATGAAACATTCGTCAATCGACGGGGTTTGTAATTAAGAATGAAAGATGTTTAGCAATTAATGTCCTAAGTGGTATACTTTCTTAGAAATTGTTAATAATATGCGAACTAGACTACCTGTAGTGGAGTCATCACATGGGCACTTATGTCTGTTTCTAAGCTGTAAGTTACGGATTCAAGTCAATAACCAAGACTTGTAACATACAAATCTACATTTAGACTCGCTCTCACTCACCCTATATTAATACTTTTTTTATGGCATAAGCCGGTAAACGAGCAGACGGATCTCCTGATGGTAAGCAATCAGCGTCGCCCATTGACACCTGGAACACCAGAGGCGTTAAAAGTGCGTTACCGGCCTTTTGGGGATTAGGAGTTTGAGGATCGTTGAGGAGATAGGGGAAGGGGAGGGTATTGGACTTATATCATAAACAAAACACCAATAGAATGTCTCGCCCATCTGTAGAAGGTTATATACTTATTAGTTTGAAATCATCTTATAGTTATCTAATTTCAAATATATCGTTCCAGTGGTGCTCGCAGTTCAACGAGGGCGGCGGCGGTGGGTCCCGCGCGCCGATCACGTTGCGTCTCATCGTGCCCGCCTCGCAGTGCGGCTCGCTCATCGGCAAGGGCGGCTCCAAGATCAAGGAGATCCGCGATGTCACCGGTGCTAATATACAGGTCAGATAAACACACTAATATTATGAAAGAAGTCAAAGAAATTAAGTTTAGTAGGAATCTATTAGAATAACTTAGTTTAAGAAAGATAAATGACTCTGTAGACAGGTTCAAACCCAATGTTTTATCGGTATTTGAAAATACTCAGTTTTAGGGTGGATTCTATATTGATACCGCGTGTCCATAATAGGTTCGGCTAACGGAATATGAGTGTTTCTTGTTTATCTTCACTTCAGCCTAATCAAAATATTATTTTATAGTGACTTAAAGCCTAAAAGTAAGGAATATGAAACTAGAGAAAGTGCGTGGCATAAACCAAAAATGGTGTACACCATATTAAGGCGATCTCAACCGGAACGTGACTTTACTTGACACTGAATAAGGTAAAATGATGGTAACCTCACTAAAAACGAGTAGTCGTGTAAATGAGTCATTCGGCGTAGTCATTCTCTTGTTGTAATAATAAAACGAAGCTCAAATACACGTAGAGGTGACAATAGTAGGTTTCTAAACAAAAGGCTATATGTCATTTATATACTGGTTTTTCTTCATGGTTTCAAACGGTGCAATTATATATATATTATCAAAAATAAAATCCACTCCAAGCTCCACCTTGTGTTGTTTTTGCCAAGTAATTTATCGTCTCCTGGTGTTTCATCAATATTCAAAACATCATCAAAATCTGCTCAGTAGTTTTAGAGTAATCTATCAAGAAACTAAATACATTTTCGCACTATTTTATTTAAATTAAAATTATAATGATTGTAAATATACATAGCGTTGCTTGTACAAAATCTCAAGCAATTAAAATTGAAACAATAGATTTATTAACACTAAAGTTATTTGCTCTGAATAAGACGATTTTGCATGTTAGCAAATCGAGCAACCTTAGCCTTAAATTGGCCGGAAACTTGAATAATTTATTAAATCGATCGAGGCTTGGAGATAAACTGTTTTGAATACAAGTTCAAGAACATTTAAGTTAAGGTAATGTGCAGGCGTTGGTTCGCCCACTTCCTCTTACCATGGAGTTTTGTAATTTCAACTTTATTGTGTTGTGATGAAGTCGAAAATCTATTGTAGTTTGTGATGTTGGAGTAACTTGACTTGCTGTTGTCTGAATTCTTTGCATTTGCATTCTTTGTGGTCATGACCTACACGTTTAACTAGTATCACGAAGTTTGCGAATATTTCAATTCTATAAGTGGATCTGTCGAACAAAGGGTTTCTATTTCATTCCCGAGTTGAGTAAAGTTATGTTGGGTTTTTTCTAATTCGGACCTGCAGCTGTAGCCAAATGCAATTTAGCGCTTGTCTACGTGTAAAATAGAAAACCGAATTATATGGAATTGGCTTAAATTTTGACACTTGTCAGTGTCATCCCTATACATTTTGTTTTCTACTGACTGACTGACAGACTATTATTTATTTTGTATTTGTTGACGTTTCAAAAGTACCAAACTATGGTTTAATTGAAATAAATGCTTTGACTTTGACTTTGACTACTCTCTCTGTAGACAAGCGCTAAAGTGGCGTTTGGCTAAAGGCACTGATCGCCAAGATCGACAAGACTTTATTGCATGCGAGTTACAACTAGTAAAAATATGTTTTAACATTTAATTATCGATATACTTTTTGAGACAAACAATGCACCATTAAGTTTGTATTTATATGTTTAAATTAAAAAGTGCAATTGATAACAGTACGTACGTCTTTAAACACGTTTACTACTGATTCAAGGTTGTATATAAGTAATTAATGTTAATACCATCGAGCTGGACTTGATCTTTTTTTATCGGAATACAAAATAAAAATTTTTTTTGCGAGTGGAATATTTGTGTATATCTTAACTTTTGTCTGTAAAATACTGTTTTTTTTATAATTCAAGATCATTTCTCAGTCAGCTCTGTATCTTTCTTTCCGTATATAGTTTTATTTGGCAATTGGCACACAAAACAAAGATTATAAAAAATAAAAAATACAGATTCTTACATACCTAAATACCTACAAAATATTAATAACAAACTTAAAAGAGAGAACAAAAATCATCAAAATATAACAAAATAATGCACATACAATACGATACAATACAATACGGTAAAAAAAAAAAACAAAATATAAATAATATTATAGTGCGTGTGATCATGCCAAAATGGCCTCCACCTCGGCATATAGTTGAGCGTTCCTACCCAACGCTGATTTTCAAGTGGCTCCCTGCTACTGTATTTTTGCTCACCAAAAGGCGCTGAACTGAAAAACGCTGGACTCTGAACCTCTCGTTTTTTTCGCGAATTAGCTTGTATAGTGATTGTTGTGTTCATATAACAAGAATATTCGAAGTAATAAATGTCATTTGTTCCAGGTGGCGAGTGAAATGCTACCAAACTCAACAGAGCGAGCCGTGACCATCAGTGGGACCTGCGACGCTATCACACAATGCATTTATCACATCTGCTGTGTTATGCTAGAGGTAAGGATATATTTTTATACTATACTAGCATCTGCCCGCGACTACGAAGTCGCGGGCAGATGCTATTGCGCGTACGAACGCGCAATCCCGTTTTCTCCTTCTTGAACCTTCTTCTAATAATAATAATAAATACAATAATAAATAAATATATGTAAATACAATAAAAAAGAAATAGTGAAATCGGTCCAGCCATTCACGCGTGATGCCGTGACCAAGCGAAAAAGGGATTAATTTTTGTGTATAGAGATTATCACTAAAGATATTAAAGCTAATGTACTAGATAGCTTTTATTGTTTTGACACTATTGGCGCGGTGGCCGCGCAACGTGTCGCCGGTCCGATTCCCGCACGGAGCAACTCTTCGTGTGATCCACATATTGTTGTTACGGGTCTGGGTGTCATGTTTGTGTGAACTTATATGTTTGTAAACGCACCCACGACGCATGAAGAAAATGGTAAAGTGAGGCAAAAAAAAACTATGTAGTATCTACACGATTTGTGATATTTTATGGCCTATTAATCTTCTGTGCTGAAGTACACTAGAGAAAGAGAAAAGAAATGGTTCAAAGAAAAGAGTGACACTTGCAGTAATGAAAATATCAATTCAGTGGAATTTCGAATCCGCACTCACCAGTTGGCGTCACTGAAGAAAATAATCCTCAGTAATCATATTTATCTTATAACAATTTTCTTACAATAGTATTTACAAGAAAATCTACGGAAACTTAAAAACTACACTAGCGCCACAAGTCTAAACATATCCCATTTATTTCAGAGCCCACCAAAAGGCGCGACAATTCCCTACAGACCAAAACCAAATGTGGCCGGCCCAGTCATACTAGCCGGCGGACAGGCGTACACAATCCAAGGCAACTACGCTGTACCTGCACAAGATGTAAGTTGTATAAACAATTATATCATTATTGCAACTAATTCATTAGCTAACAGATTTTATTGTAGGTAAAAAAGTAATAAACTAAATATCAGATCCTACTATAGGAAAACGAAATTATTTGTGAAGTACAAGTCTTTGGTAATTTAAAAAAATATATTTCAAAATCTGTACTGTACTAAACTGTTGTTGTAATTGTCTAAAATATGAATTAACGATTAATTGGCAACACTGATTAATTTTAGCTGGTAATACTGTTCACTTGTAAAACAGAGAATAGAAGAACTTTTTCAAAAAGTGCTTAACGTTACAGTATAGTCTTTATAAAGCTGTTATAAATATCTACACAAAAATAATACAATTGATGTCGGATGGTCTAAAAAAAAATAAATAAAATATTTTCACACCTTTTTACAACTGGCAAAGAATTTCTAGATATACAGTTTTCTGAAAAACTTCTTCTATTCCTACTCTTCTAAATAAGAATCGAATTGTAATTCAAAAGTTAATTATCATTTACAAAAAAATGTAACCAACAATATCTTCAGCGTCGTGTCTTCAAATTTACTAAATGCACTCAACTTTTTTGTCGTTGTGAACGATATAACAAATTAGATAGCTTGCTACTACAGTTTTCACTCTCATTATCACTTCTCTAAAGTTTTAATGTATACTCAGTGATGTCTTAAACTCAACAGTATGTATCGCGTTTAGTTTCGATTAAGTATCGAATAAAATGACAGAAATAATGGTTAGTAAAAGCAAATTAATTATGCAACATGAGTGATATTGGTATACGCTATTTGTGCAGATATTTGCTAATCATTGTAGATCTAAAATACAGTCTTTGAACTATGATATGGGAATACGTTGGCCTCATACCATAAATTAGTCTCGAGCTAAAATAAAAATCAATCGGAAATTATTCATTTTTATAAATAAGGTACAAATAGTTCGTCATGTTAATAATAATTTAGGACCTCGTATTTCGCCTACGATGTCGATAAAATTGCTAGGATAGGGATTCGCGAAGCCTTAGTCATATCGGCGAAAAAGCGGAGTGCTTGTACTGCGGTGCTAGTGGCGGTGTGCGCAGGCGGTGTGCGCGCCCGTGTTCCCCGTGCTGGAGGTGAAGCCCCCGCTCGTGGGCGCGCTGCCGCCGCACCATCTGCTGCCGCCGCTGCACGACCACCACCTCGTGAGTGCGCGCCGGCCTCCTAGGGACCCGCGGGACACCGCACCGATACATGCTACGCCCACTATACATAGCCCCGAACTTATCATCATTGTCACGTGATTTTCGTTAAAAAAACGAGCTATTAATAAGTAAACTTCATTCTCCATGTACGAATCATGCATGTAGGGTAGACATAATCTCGCCAAACACGGTGCGCTGTCTCGATGGGAGCAACAACTTGTAAGATCTTCACGTACTTAATGAATGCTGAACCAATTCGATGAAACACTATTATGCTAAACCTAACCCCGTAGACTATACCAGAATGTTCTACTTCCCATTAGTACAACTGAAGATCTTCTAGTGAAACCTTGAAACAAGTAATAGTTCTCTATGAGGCTGTGTGGACTGAGTGACGTTATGTGATTGGTGCTGCCCCAGAATCCCTTCGAATTGGATGTGTGGTGTCGATTCCCCGTAGCGGCCATGAATTAACCCTGTACTATAGTCGTAGTGCCCCGGTGATGTGGACTCTAGGAATGACCTCCGTATTATTTACGCTGCTCTCTTGCACTTTACGCTTGAAACTCTTAGGTATTTCTTTCTTGTTGCACGTGACCCCCATTGTATCATTCCAATGTTATCCATAATGTATCGATCCGTAGTTTAGAATGTAATCGTAGCACTTTTGAACCGAATGTATTTATTTATAGTCGTGTAGTGATAAAACATTCACATTCAAAGCTTTATCTGTTTGTTTTCTGGCATTGCCGAGATACGAGCGTAATGTACTTCATACGGCTCGCGCACCTATCAGCGATGTTGAAATTGTTACAAACGTTCCTGTACTTGCACCTCTCCTTATTTTGCCTCTGCCTTGCCTTTCCATCGTTTTTCTTTTATTTTCCACACGATTAAATAATAATGGTGATTAACCATGGTCGCGCATGGCTTAACGTTATACAAGTTTATATTAGAGTACAATCAAGTTTGCCTTTTTGTTTAATTTCAAGGTGCATTTTATGGGCAGCACCATTCTACTCACGATGTGGATTTCATTTTTTTCCGATATCACTATGAAGATTCGCAAATCCTTGCCTTTCCAATCTGAATTGATTGGTTAGACTATCAGTATGTTTAGTTCAAGTGTTTGGTTTTGTAGTTTTGTTTTGAACACTGAATTGATCATACGTTTCGTCTACTAGGGGAACATTGCGAATTTTCCTAGACTTTGGTATTACGTTGTAAACTCTAGTTTCTACCCAGGTAACCCTATCCAGCGATCCCATCCCGGCTATGTCAGAGAAGACGAAAACAAGCAGCTGGAGCTTATTGTTATATAAATAAAATATATATTTAGTAAACTGTTATGGAATTTGTTTAGAAATATTCTCAGAGAATGAAGTATCACACTGTGTAGTACGATTTCTTCTTCCTTGTATGAAACGCGTATTGTCTTGTAAAATATACTTATTTTGTAGTATGTATACATAAAGATGATACTTTTCCAAATTGTATATTTATTCACATTTATTTTAGTATTTACTTACTAAAATATTTGTTCGGAACGCAATGTGAAATTGTAGAATGAAACGTTTGGATTGGGAAGTTATTAATCTTGTGTAAGCGCAGGTAAAGCTGGATATGATGGTTATGTATCAGAAGAAGGACTTACCCTTTAAAATAGATTGTATTCAGTTAAATTATTGCTTAAAGGGATGTTTTCCCAAACACCAATATTTATATCTTTATTTTTTAACAACATTATCCGAGCTTTCGACAACACGTCATAGCATTTCATTTCAAAGAACTTTTTGCCTATAATTGAAACTATCATAGATCTAACTTCTGATACACAATCACATACTAACCTGTGCTTATAAAAACTTAGATAAAATAAACACAATACTAAACGTTTTTCTTTTTTCTAGATGGGAGGTCTGGCTAAGTCACCTCTGGCCGGCCTGGCCGCCTTAGGTCTCGGCGGCCTAGGGCCAGCAAATGCCGCCGGACTTAATCCAGCAGGTAAACAGAGCCTAAGTATGTATTACTATTTTTAAATCCATACTAACATTATTTATTTTGCATGCTTTTATTTACATTTAGGGTGGTTTTATTGTCGCGTTAACGTCACGCGCACCACGTCAGTGGTGATGGCCGAGATTTGTGAACTTGGTGGTCAGCGCTGACCACCGCGCGCGCTGATAGCTACGCGCTAGTCAAAACCGCTTCCAAGAAGTTCATATATCTCGTCCTAGCAGCGCTGACGGTGCGCGTGCTGTCAGCACTACACTAAAACCTGTCCTATTTGTTGAATAAGGTCCTGTTTTCACCGTATCATTACATTCTACCTGTAGTTTTCAAATCTACTGAAATATAGGTTATTGAAATTGTTCGATAGACATTAAAAGTAATAATTTATAGGTGTTATTGCACGCCGACACGCTTATTAAAATGGTATTTCATTTCATTAACATAGTTTAAACACATCCTTCAAAAGGTTTATAATAAAGAAAGTAGGACCTTATAATCATTGCACAGCATTGAAGCTTTTCATTAGCTTTATATTTATTTATCTAAGCTAATATCATTAGTAACTGAAGTAATAATTCCACGATATTACTCAAATCATGCAATTGTTTTCTTAGTCTACTTACACCTGAATGAATCGCTTTAGTGTTGCTTGGTAATGATTTAATTAAATTAGATAATTAAACAATAGGTCCTAGTCTAGTGCCATCACTAGTATTAAACTTCAGCTTAAACTTAACCATTGCATTAATATTTCAAATATACGCTTCATAAATGAAATTAATCGTACTTTCCATTGTAGTTTAACATTTTGCAATAATTTCCTTCCTGAATCATATTTTCCTTCCACGCACAGTTGCGTACAGTCAGTAAGCCAAGTTCTTTGATATGTAGGTAAGAAAGGAAGACTGATTTAGTACGCAGAAAGTAGGTAGGCACTACAAAAAAAAATTAACAACGTCATTCACCTCAAGCCTTAACAATTCTACTGGTTGAAATACAAAACGTGACTTTGAAAAATAAGCTAAAGCAATGCAATAAAAATATCGATGATAGTAAGTTACTGAACAACCCGTGAGGTAATAATGTTAATAAATGTTTTTGAAAAATTACCCAGCTATAGTGTACTAACCTATATGTCTATATGTTTACCAAATTCATGTCATCTTACCTATGGTGACATAAGTACGATTCAACAAGCATTATCTGTACTAAATCAACCCTTTTTTCTAACCCGCAAACTAAACTACTTATAAAATCACAATTGGCGAATGAATGTGTAGATGTTAGATAATATTTATAACGAGTATTTAATAATATTTATTGTCATTTCTTCCAGCGTTAGCGGCTTTAGCTGGGTCACAACTGCGCACATCGAACCAGTCGCGCAACCAGCCCGCCACCAATCAGCAATCACATGAGATGACAGTACCCAATGAATTGATAGGCTGCATCATCGGAAAGGTAGGCTTATATTATAGTACACTCGTGTTTTATTACTTCTTTGTAAAATTTTATTCTGATAAGTAGTCTTTTGTAGCGAATTTGTAGGGTAATTTATGTACGACGAATAAAACGATGGTACATACTCTCTTTGTTTGAGAAAGTTATTCTTACTACCCATGTTCTGGATGGACATAGCAGAAGATAAAAAATTAACAAAAAAAAGAGTTTCGCAAACTAGGGAAATGCCTAAAATTACGCTTTCTTTTTGTATTTAACGTATAACATAAAAATCACCATCTTCAGGGCGGTACCAAGATCGCAGAGATCCGACAAATATCCGGAGCTATGATCCGGATATCTAATTGCGAAGAACGAGAGGGTGGCAGCACTGACCGAACCATCACTATCTCTGGCAACCCTGACTCCGTAGCACTGGCCCAGTATCTCATCAACATGAGGTAAGAACATGTCACTAATAACAACCATTTTATCTTCCCTGCCTACAGAATATCCATCCAAACTCCTCGGAGTATTATTTTGCCCGTTCATGCCCCATAAACTTGCCTAGTCCACCCTTAAGGTCGATTTTTTTTTATTATCCTCAATATTCCTTCTGATTTATCTTACCTTATGGGCCGTTTCGATATCGTATTCGTTTTCATTAAATTGTTTTGGAGATAAACGCGCCTGACCCGAGTAGTGAAGATGATTTTTTATTTTTGTTTTGTTGTGAACGCAATAAATTAATTGAGTATTTGTTTTCTAACACATAAGACGCATGAAAGTGTGGAACAGCTTTTGTGTCGTTTATAATAAATTGCACTTCATTCATCTCATCTTTACTAGTAATTACAATTATTTAAATGCCTTCACAGTACGCTATTTTTATGAATGCTTATGGTTTAAATCAAATGTACATTTTAATGTGGCGGTGTTTACACGTTGCCGTCATATAAATAGATATATTTCAGAAGTTGCCACTAGCACAATGCCGTCACTAAAGTTGCAATGAAAATAACATCAAAGTATAATATTAAATAAAATAAAACGTAGTTATCGTTCACTAAAACTCGGGCCAGCGTCGTATAGTCCGGTGCCGCGTGCAGTCGAATAGGCCCAGAGGTCGCCTGACCCTGTACAACATTCCTGTCCCGCTCCGGCAGTGTGGAGCTACAGAAGGCGAATCTGGAGGGTAGCACCAGCGGCTCCGGCAGCTCCACGTCGCCCAGTCCGCTCGCGTCCGCCATCCCGCTGGCGCAGCTGCTCAGCAAGTCCGGGGCGCTCGGGGCGCTCAGCTCGCTGTCGGCGCTGGGCGGGCTGTCGGAGCTGCTGGCGCCCGCCGCGGGGCCCGTGCAGACCACGGGCGTGCACCGCTCGCACGCGCACAAGTACTCGCGGCGCCAGGACGAGGACGCGCCCGCCAAGTCCTCCAAGGACCGCAACAAGTACAACCCCTACTAGCGGTGCACGGCGTACCGGGATGCCGCCAACTGATCGCCGTCGTTTCGTCTTATTCGTGTTACTCTCAAATCATGTAACTACAATTGTCATCGTTAGGTTTTACGATATGTACGAGCCGAGTAAAGCTTAGTGTCGTCACTGTAGGAGCCCGCGCCCGGTGCGAGGCTGTATCGAGTAACTCGGTGGAGCTCGCGTGTCGCTCGGTCACCTCTGTCGGTGGTTACGCCACGCCCTCTAACAGTCATTCATCATCATTATCGTTAAATATTATTTCTAAGAGTAAATAAAAACAGTATAACATTTTGAGAAATCTGTTTTCATCTTTTTTACTTTATTCGTTGTATTGAAAGATTTAAACATTTTTGTTACTAAAAAAATAATTAATTAATCATAATTATGAGTCTTTCTTTAACATCGTATTCTCTCTTAATTCTACATTTATTTGGTGATTTAAAAGTATTTAAACCTCTTTCAATATAAATAATACTAAATACTTGTTACAATTATTGATTTTCTATTTAAATTAGATCAAAACATTTGATGTATTTTAAAAGCATGACTGCGCTAGAGAAAGCTTTTATATGACGAAAGAATACCTCGACGAACTAAAAAACATTATCTAATATATTAAAAGTCGTTTTTGATAACTATTAAATTAAGATTAAAGTATCCGGGAAGTATAATATCATCATTACAATGAAATAAAATCACGATGGTAATACTAAGTGCATAGTATATGTAACGATACACGATGGACTTAGGACGGGAAAGTGAAATATTTACGAATACGACAACTAGGGATCTTGACAATAGTAGAAGTACGTAGAAGCTAATGGCTGTAGAATATACAGAGTGCTTTGCGTTCAGATGTAATGAAATGTCTATTTGGAATCAAAATACAGGGTGTCACAATCACGAGAGTACATCAAACGATACTTCTTTTCTTTAGACGATTCTAGAAACGAATGCTACTTGTACTCCGACTTTTTATTCGTTTCAGTAAATTGACAGTTTACCTAACTCAATCGATTACTGAATCAAATCGATTCGAATCGATATTAAATATTACGAATAGGTATGTCAAATGCTTGTCACCGTCTGGCATATTTACAATATTTTTTCTATGACATCATCAGCTATTCATTGTGTTTTTCCTTCTTATTTAGTATGAGGCATGCACTTCGCTCATGCTTTTCTTCTTTCTATTATTTGTAAGTCTTGACTAAAGTCGTTCATTGTCATTTTGATTTATCGAATCGATTGCTGATTGACAAAACAGCTGTTGTTAGTTCACTGAATCGAATAAAAAGTCTGTATGTAGGTATAAAATTGTATTTCACTTCATTTGTACACATTCATTTAAACATTAACGCGAAGTATTGTTTGATGACAATACCTCTGTATACACATTTTAAATGGAAGATCAAATTAGAATTTTTGACAAAACTATTAATAATAATTAAAAAATCACTTTGAGTTTCGACTATCTCAGTTTACAACTTTATCCGTTGCTAAGTTAATGTTCCTTAATTTTCGAGGCATTTTAGAAATCAATGAGTATTTTTAGTTCAGTTTTGTAAAACTATAAATTTTGTAACAGAAACATGCTACGCAATATGATTGGTTGATGATGCTGGCGACTGATTCGATTGGTTGTTTATCTTATGATCAGCCAATCACGTTAGCTGTCGGGAAGCAAAGCAATAAGTTGATTGGTGTATAATGGGTGTTATGCATGATATTGTTATAATTTATAGTTTTATAACGCTGTCGGATGGTCTGTGTACGACTTTAATTTTGTTAAAATATCAATAAAGTGATTCGTTTGTAGTTGTATGAGTCATTTCTACTTGCGCCAAATATATTCCAATAGGAATGGGAATGTTGGATATTTTTATTATTTATTATACATTTATAGCTACTTATGATTCTCAAGATTATTGTAAGTAGTTTGGACTGTTTTATATTTAGGTGACCTTATTAAGTATAAGGCAGACAGCGCCGTTACGTTAGATATAGCGAGGCTATAGCAGATTAGTTAGGTAATGGCGTTGTAATGTCACTACATTATTTTATTAATTAGTGCGAATTTAAAATTGAGGTCCAATTCGTATGTTTCTAAATGTAGTTCCGTAGGGAATGCAGATTATTTAGCTGTCAGTATAACTTTTTATTTGTAATTAAAATCATGTTAATTTTAAGGTAGTAAACGTTTTCTTATTCGTTTCAGGTTTATATTACTCGCTAGAATCGTTAAGCAAAAGTGTATTGTTTTAAAGTACATACTTAATAAAAATAATAATAGTACGCGTGTGTTTTTTATTGATAACAGTTTTGTCTAACAGAGTCGTCGGTCTAGTATTAAGTGCAGGTAACTTGTATAGTTAAGGTTCCGAACACAAAGCTTCCTTGGAGAACCCACGCCACAATCCTGCCCACCCACGGCACCAACCATTCCCGTGAATACCCGACATGCAGAACTTTGCTCCATCGTGTACTATCCTACTGCTGGATCATCCAATGTCCTGGTAAGAGATTTCCTTACATTTAATTTAAATCCTAGTGTTTCCGTTTTATTCTTACTTGTTTCTATGAACGGGCTTTACGTCTCAACCTATTACTGCTTCATCCTATGAACTCCATTTCCATCCGAGCTGTTCTTTGATTGTTATATTTTGACCCAACACGAAAATAACTCGTTTATGTCCCAATGAATGGAATTGACACTTGATGATTGGTTGACCGATGTGACTCAGTTTGTTGCGAGGGCGAGTGATTAATGTGCGTGTGATGTGTTCCAGGATCACGATGGAGACGGCCGGGCTGCCCCTGCCGGGCTACCACTACATCGCCCCGAACCACATCGTGAAGGCACCGATCCATTGAATGGGGCTCCGCGGCCAGAATCCCGGCGTTGCGTACAAGATGTACCACACGGAACGCACCATTCTGATGCAGCCGCAATACGGGACTCTGGCTCCGATATATTTCTTCAAATGAACGTGACCAAAATAATCTCTCTAGTACGAGGTGACGCTATTGGCAAGACATTAGATCCACGCTGAATGTATGTTTACATTTGTTACGAGTTTATAAGTATTTTAGATATTCTTATATTTATTCTCCACTGTATTTGATTGATTGGAGCAGAACATGTCAGTGGTTTATATATCAGTGAGATCTGGGGAAGGGGTTTGAATATGAATTATTATAAAAGAAAACTTACGACTGACATTTTAAAATTTTTGCTAATCCGTGAACAGTGAGCTTGTAATATAACTTGACAAAACACTTATTTTAAATAGTTAAATATTTATAATGATTTGTCTCGTTCACTGGTCACGGCTTATGAATTTATAACACTGGGAGTTAGCTAAGCTGATCGAATTTACTATGGATTTAAGCGGTTGAGTATATCAATTGTCTATTGGATTTATTTTCCATTATGATCAGTACCGACCACAAGTAATAATGTTCAAACTAAGGTAAATCGAGTGTCGGCGTACATTAGATAGGTGTAGATGCGTTACAATCGACCTCGGACCCGCTGACGTAGCGTAGTGTTAGATTAGCGAACAGAGTGAGAGGGTTTAAAGACAATATTTGTAAATAAAATAATCGTAATTACCTGAGAATTAGGGGGTTACAGTAACAGGAGCGGCGCTCGGGCGCGGCGCGGCGATACGAAACCGATGGGATCAAATCCTTTAAGTAACTTACTTTAAAACGAAGACAGAGGAGAAGATAACATTTCAGTATATCATTTAAAATCGTCTAATATCACAAAAAAGACGTTAGGTATAAAAATAGTGTTGCTAAATGTGATAGTCTTCTAATTTATTTAACATTTGAACTATTAAGATCTCTAACGTATACACATGTGTAGGATACATCGGCTACTGGGAAATTGAAGTCGAATAATTAATATTGGTCTAGGGATCAAAGCCAAAGATTGTTGAAGTTTGTTTAACATTAATAATGTTGTGGATTTATGCTAAATTATTCTGAGAGTAGTTAATGTTTAGTGATGTAATGTAGAACGGTTGATTTGAATTATTTTATCACCCTCTCCAGACTGCTCATTGTATTTAGTCTTAGATCAAATATAGTCCTGTGGTAATCAAATATTTCCAAAAAAAGTAAAAAAAAATACACTTAGTTTAACGTAGAGTAAGATAACTATAGGACCACTGTATTGAGAAGCGTTTCAGTGACATGTCATTATCTGTGGAAGTTGATGTGCCAACGTGCCGGTCACGACGGATCGAGTGCCAAACATATAAACTGCAACTTGTAACTAAGGCATATCGTGTGCACTACACATGTATTTCTTGACATGCTATATAACAGTAAAAGTATCAAGTTATAGAATTACGTAAGCGATTACTGTATTATCCACTACTTATTAATTTTGCACCCTAGTTATAAGATTTCTCGGTTAGAGTAAATATTCTCGAAACATATCCCGAAAACATATTCCCCAAGTCTTCCCCTGCAGTATTTCAGTAATTAATGATTGTGCCAAAGTTGTGTCTAAAATTTATTTACATAATTATGTGTATTTTAATGTGACGTCGATAGTATTGAAAATTAGTTCGTATTTCGTTAAAATCGTCGGTCGATATCGATATGCTAGTCAAATTGTTCTGAAAGTAGAAAAATTTAAGAAATTGTATAATGCTAGTCAAAATTTTGTTTTCTATTGGTATTTGCGTTATGTGAAGATAATGAAGTTTATTTTTGTTCGCATCTCTCAAAGTTTTTAACTATTTTTGTGTGCTTCAAGTAAATTAAAGTAGCAATAAAATTTTTGATAAAATCAATTATTTATAGTCTATTAAATTGCAATTAAGACAATGTATAGAGCTTCGTAAAGTAAGTGTCACACAGGTTTAAATAGAATTATTCTATAGATATAAATTTGTGAAAAGGTAATTTTGAAAAAAAAAGGAAATTTACTAAAGAGAAGAGATTTCATAGCTGTGATTAACGTTCGGGGTTGCACTTTTGTGCAAGAGCTACGTCAGGATGTATGTCGCGTTATCGGATAGTGATGCAGGTAGTAGTTAGTAGAGCACGCTTCTAGTTGGAGACGGAACATCGAGGCGCGCGCCCGCCTCGACTCACATTTTATATAAACTGAAAGGTTATTGTAACGCAAATACTTTCAAGTAAAAGGAAGTATCAATTCGTCGGTGTTGTCAATGATAATTAAATAAAAATTTAGGTCAATGCAATTTAAATTATTAGCGAATAAAAATAATAACTAGTGATAATTTTTATTCATATCCTCGTATATTACGTTCAGTTGTAATTTATAGTAATCACAGCAATCGATATAATCTTTATTATACTCATTATATAATTATAGCTACTATTATGATTCGTATTGTTATTGTTATTTTGATTTGCTCAATTTTGTCAATGTTGATGTAAGCTAGGCGAAATGAAGTTTACTTTGTTTTCTGTTGTTCGATAAGCAATATTATAATTTAGTGTGCTTTATGTACTACGTAAGTATATATTATATTTAATGCAAGAAGCATCATTACTTATTTTAGTCGCACCAAATATGTCATAGGCAAGATACGTAACATATTACTTATTCTAATCACATACTTCTTATTTACTTGTTCTTTTATTTCTCTGACTTTCTACATAGTGCGTATCGTGCCATATAACATATTGAATAAGTTACATACGGTTATATGTCGATGATTTTATTGGATTGCGTGTTATATACAGGAATGTTTTATTAGGTAATGTTGAGAGTATCGCTGTGCCATCAGAAGTATAAAGCAAGGCTAAACAATTATACACACACATAGCTGAAGCTATGTCGAGGTCTCATAACGACACAGTCGGTCCATGGTCCCTGATATTGTATGAGATTTAATTATTATTTACTGTGTAATCAGATATCAGTTATATCCTCGTTATTTGTATGTTTCAAATGTTCGTAATATATTTAAGTCACTAAACTAAAAGTTAGTGCCTTTTGTTCTTAGATTTTCTTCAAATTATTTTAAACTGTAAGTTGTACGATTGTGGACTTCTTTCGGATCGTGTTATGAATTATATAGCCTTTATCGACAGGGTCAGACAGCGCTGTATAGTGTAATTACATTCAATCTTAGCAAATATTTATAAATGTAATAGTGAATTTCTTTACAATTTTCGTGTTAGCACATGTATTTGAAGTTCTTATTGCACCGTTTTCGAGAATCCCTTGAATTTAATACGGTTTAATAATATTAAAATTTGTCATTAAATACATTACTATATTTAAATATTTTCTAAATGCTTACGATGGAACCACTTCGTTGGTGATTTTATTGATGACATTATTATATTTCTATTATTACATTCATTGTACTTACATTAACTCAATATTTTGCTATGTATCCCTATTATAATATATGTACAAGTTGATCACAATCGGGTAAAAGGTTGTGTAATTGTAATACAATATACATTATACAATAATCTCGCTTGATCTGTATCAGTACTCGGATTAGGCAAAATATACATTGTTCACACACGTACTACACTTTCGTAGTGAACAGGGTACCATGATACAGACGATCTTCTCTTCACACAACTTATAGTCCAATTGTATGTATTAAATATCCTTAGAAAGTATTTATACATATTCATTTTAATCTTCACATTGAAAAGATAAATGTCTGTAGACATTGATAAGTATGGTGGAATGAATTATTTCTACTTCGTTCATATTATTCTTCGAGTATACGAACATACTGCTCAGTGTATGTTTATATAATTATCAAATTAGATCTGCTATCTTATTTCTCCCATTGTGTATGTGCGTAGGTTATTCATTTGACAGTTTCGACACCTGTTTAGTATTAAAGTTAATAGTAATTATTGACTGAGTATAGTTAAGAATTGTAATATCAAAAACACAAGAAAGATATCGAATGTTTTTGTTTCACTGCTGTTATTTCAATAAGCATTTAATTTTTTTATTCACTATAATTAGTAAACGTTTTAAAAGTCTATTGTTCTACAAATGTTATTTCGTATACATAGACTTTATTGGTTTTGTCAATGACATAAATATACTAACATTATAGTGTTGGGAAGTAGACGACGCGACGGTTGGATATTTGTGTATAGTGATCTCTAACGCGACTAATATCTAGTCAATATATTGTAACGTTATTGATGCTGCGACTGCAGTTCAATGTTGATATATTTATGGCGCTGAATGCCACAACATAATATGCCATGCAATACCCGGTACCTAATTAAAAGTTAGATTAAACTAGAAACAATTGATGGACAT